GAAAACGAAGCGTTTGAGAGAGGCGGGGCATAGAGGACCTACAATAATGTACAGTATTTGAAAAATAATGTGTTTTTTGAACATTAAAGCATGTCAACATATTCTGTTACACCAAATACACAAAATAATGATCTTTAAAAAAGCATCATGACCCCTTTAATAAAAAAAATGCATAATAAAGATATTGTCTCTCAAAAGAGAGAGTCTATTCTGAATCGCCTTAACGAGTCGTCATATTTTTGAATCTTTTGCTTGTTACCGGTATACGTCACTTGGTAACACACTTGCATAATCCCCGCCTGCCCGCAAAATACGAACAGAGTCTGACCTGCCCACAAACACTTCCGCTAGTTAGTGTGTTTACGGCATGTTGAGAAGACGCTGTGTACCACAGGATACCACAGAAATACAATTCAAAAGAACCTTTTGTTGTGTGCATGTCATTTTAGAAACGAAGCGTTTGAAAGAGGCGGGGCATAGAGGACCTACAATAATGTACAGTATTTGAAAAATAATGTGTTTTTTGAACATTAAAGCATGTCAACATATTCTGTTACACCAAATACACAAAATAATGATCTTTAAAAAAGCATCATGACCCCTTTAATCAAAAAAATGCATAATAAAGATATCAAAAGAGAGAGTCTATTCTGAATCGCCTTAACGAGTCGTCATATTTTTGAATCTTTTGCTTGTTACCGGTATACGTCACTTGGTAACACACTTGCATAATCCCCGCCTGCCCGCAAAATACGAACAGAGTCTGACCTGCCCACAAACACTTCCGCTAGTTAGTGTGTTTACGGCATGTTGAGAAGACGCTGTGTACCACAGGATACCACAGAAATACAATTCAAAAGAACCTTTTGTTGTGTGCATGTCATTTTACCAAGGACTGCTTCTCTAATCTTGGCTTTTATCTATGTTGGCTTCTTAATTTGGACTAACAAGCTCTCCGAAGTAGGGGTATGCGATATATATCGTCTGCGATAATATCGTCATTGTTGTTTTAACGATGTGCGATTTGACATTATCGAGTATTTTGCAAAAACCATTCAAAACATCCCTACAGAGTGCACGCACACATTACGTGAAGTCTAGACTAGTGCGTGTGCGTATATAGTGTTTTCTCTTTCACTGCATGATTCAGTCTATTAAAATGCATTTAGAATGATCACAAATTCAAGACATGATGGCAGAAAATTTATATATTTATACCACTTCATATAGTTATTCAATTTCACACGAAGAGTGCCGTTTTTCTCCAAAAATTACCATGATTACAAATGTTACATTTAATTCAATAAACAATAAGTTAATTAAGAGACTTACATTTTAGACACCATATTGCTTGTTTTTGCTCTATTTCGCCAACAAAAATTATTCTGAATACAGCAAAAGCGCTGTTTAGTGTCTCTGAGAAAAAAAAAAAAAACAGCAACGGTTTCGTTCTTGAATGAATCAACCGTTTAAATGATTCGGTTCAATCGCAATCACTCACTTATTAACAGTGATTTGCTGCCACCTGCTGGCGGTTTTAATTTAAAATTTCGGCTTTTTCTTTTCTTTTTTTTCTTTTTTTTTTCTTTTTCTTTTTAATATATATATTTTTTTCATGTTTTAAATCATTTCAAATATCAGTATTCAACGTTTTATGTTTAATATATCAAAACAGTATTTATGCATTTGTAATTGCAGGTTAAATGCATTCATGTCTTGCATTAAACAAAATACATGTGTGTAAATGCATCTAAATGCCACTTCAGATGCAGCTTCTGTGTTGATTTAATTTGCTTGGTAACAGCCCAAATGTCTTATTCTAATTCCCTGATTAAATGTAAGAATTTGACTCAAAAGATAATGGACACTTTTAGAAAAAATGGCTTTATAAAGGTAAAAATGCCCATAAAATGCAAAAATCAGTTTAAACTTATTGGAAAATATTAATTTATATCAGTATGAACTGACCACCACGCAGAATATGAAGAATATTAAAAACATTAGGAATCAGCTTTCTTCGGCAGTCCTTAAGGTACCAGCACAATAACACACTCAGCAAAATATTGTCTAATTATCGTTATCGATAAAATCCAATAAAATAGAGATATAATTTATTCTGGCAAATCGGTGCTCGTTCACGCTAGTGGCAATCAAGCCGTGTGAATTATCAAAGACGCGATCTGAGGGAATCGCCGACGCCCTCAATTTTTGGGATGCTAAATATCTGGAGCTGTCGGCGATGCACACTGCGTGATTGTGAAATGATTTCTGACTGAAAACTACATTGGCGGTGACCTACAGCCAATGAGAGACCAAGATACAGGACAGCGGGAAGTTCGGGGAGGAGTTATAGACCAGAATATCAGTATTTTAATAGATATAAGAACAATTATATCATACAGAAACGAGCACAAACATTTGCTTGACCACAATCTCAATCACAATCTTGACTACATCTCCCTCCTGCAAAATCTGTTTTTCTTTTTCTCCTTGTAGCTGGAAATCAGCTCACAGACAATTTGTAATAATTACAGTCTTGCGCGAGAACTCCGGTCTGACGCACGTGGGTTCTCGCGTTATTTTCTTATCACTTCTCGCGTGTGTTTTGTTGTGAAACGTAGTTTGCGGACCAGACAGAGCTGTCGGCGATTCTTCCTACTGTGAAGTCATGCAGTGTGAAACCTCCTGTCGCCGATCCATCGTGCAGTGTGAACACAGCAGCAACTGAATGCTACCCCAGATAGTCACGCAGTGTGAAAACAACGGCGATCCGACGACTTTGAAAATCGTGCAGTGTGAACTCGGCATTAGGGGGGAAAAAAACAACATCACTGGTGTGCACCTTGAGGCAAACCAATGGCACTGACATATTTTAAGATATGTCAGTGCAAGTTTCTTTCAGTTAATACAGCTCAGACATGCATTTTAGTCTGGGGGTAGGCTTAAGTCTTGTCTGTGAAACCAGGAGATAGTTTCTTATGCCGAGTTCACACTGCACGATTTTAGCCCGATTTTCACTCGCAGACAGGTTTTGCGAAATCGCAGACAAATGCCCGAAATCGGAGGCAGATCGGTGCTCGTTCACGCGAGTGACAATCACGCAGTGTGAATTATCAAAGA